TTCCATGTTATGCTTAAGATATTTGATATTCGGATAGTGAAGTTAAGCTCAACAGTCTAGGTTATATGGCAATAATAATAAGCTTCTCTTCTGGAGGGTTAAAAACCTAAGTTTGCAGACCAAAAATTAGAGAAAAAGGAGGGCCACAAGGAAAGCCAACATTTTGGTCCTAGCCTTCCATGATCAATTAAAACTCAGAACATATGAGAACTTGTACTATAACGTCATGTAACTCAGTAGTGTCCCAAATTTTCTGATCAAAGAAATTATGGAGCCAAAGAGGAAATTACAGAGTGTGCCTAAGGAGAGTCACATGGAGAGGAAATATTCTCTCAGGCCTTCGCAGAGAGCACATTGGCCAAGCATTGGCCATGACTCATCCACATGGCTGACACTGACAAAGGATCTACAATCTAAGGTACAGGATCTCAGGATAAATCCTAAGGGGATTTCACTGACCTTATCAGACCCAAAAGCTACAATTCTTGTTGCATAGGTCTTGCTTTATCTTGGTCTTAACCATCCAGCAGAAAAGTATAAAAACGAAACATAAGAAGTAAAGCCATGCTGTTAGGTTGAGCTGTAGGGGACTCAGGTCAACAATTTCTGACATTACCAGTCAAGCAGAAGACCCAATACTATTATGGACTACTGGACTCTTTGAGAATATTTTACTGAGTTAACACACCTATAATATTCAAATGACAAAACTAAACAAAAAAGAGGATACAGATGAATGTTCATTTTGCATCTGTGTATTCAAAATGGTTAGGATAGATATATAGTTGCATTCTCTTAATGAATAGAGGGATTTGTTCTAATATTGTTTATAAATAGGATATCATGTCTGCATCTTGTTCACCAAACAACTACTAGGAAGGCAGTATGCAATGTATTAATTATTCGCACTGTCCTACCAATTTGATTTGAAACTGTCTGATTGCTATTTATTTCTCAATAAAATTATGGAAAAAAATTAATGAAGTAGTTGCTCAGGGTATGAGAAAAAAAAAACACTACGAGTTTATGAAGGCAATGCCAAACAATTATGTTCTCATATTAAACATACATTGATGAAATAAATGTGATGTATGTTGTAAGTCATCTAAAAATCCTTAGATATTAATGCCCTAAGGATAATTTTGGTTAGTATTTCCAAATGGGAATAATATATATATATATATATATATATATATATATTCATGTGGCAGTTTCAAAAAAATGTTATCTGCTAAGATTTGCATCCCATAAAGCAAAAGAGCATGACACACTCTTTATGAACTATTAACTAAAGATTATTATGGTGATGAACTAATACAAAAACTGATGGCATACAGTGGTAATCCAAGAGACTAATCAAGAGAGTCACCAAGTGTTTTGGGCCAGGACAGCCTGAGTTTAAAGCCAGTCTGATCTACCTAGTAAGATGTTTCCAAAACCAAAAGAAAAATCAAAAAAAAAAAAAAAACAGTAGAAGTAAAGGCCATATAAACATTATCATGCACAATATAAACTCATAAATTATAATATTAAGAGGTTTCAATAAGAATATCTATAACATCCTTTTAAACAACCTCAACTTCACAGTTACCATTTGAAACACTATTTCTGAGAGTTTCCAACACCTATGGTTTAAAACCAGAACCCTCTTAACCTTCCTGCGTAACCCCTGTAGGCAGTCTACCCTAACTGTTGGTACATTTAGTTAACTATAGCTTGCAGCGTGATTTTCCATTCATCCCTTACTATTTCCTGTTGTCTGTATAAATTTTTTTTCACAGAAGAACAAGTGGTTTAAACACTTAGTAGAAAACATTCCTTTTTTTTTTTAACTAATCTTATACCTCATGACTCAAAAATGGAGTCATGTGGACTCAAAATTAGAAGCGTATATTAGAATCATGTGAGAGCCGGTGAGATAGCTCAATGGACTAAACTGACTGCTTTAGCAAGTGCAGGGACCAGGGTTTGAACACTGGTCCCACATGCTGCGCCAGTCCCGCCCCTTGGAGCATGCTGAGCTGGCAGCTCAGTCTGGGGAAACAGGAGAATCACTACGAGTCTGAGCTGCACAATGAGACCCTGTACCAACTACATAAAATTTTAAAAATAAAATAAAATAAATAAAAAAGAATCACATGGAGCCATATTTTGAAATCAATTAATTTAGTTGCTGTTTATATGGTTACATTTAGACCATTTCTAATACATCTTTGTAGCAAGTCTTCAGAAGTACTATGAAGAAAGAAAAAAAAAGAGATCTGGGAGGAAAAATCCTGTTCTACAACTTTGTAAAGACTAAATTTTTCTGTTCCTTGAGGATTACTTTCTAAATAATCTTATCTAGCAAAGCTAGGCCAGTTTTATGCTTATTTTATGGTTGAAAGGATGAGAATTTCTGGCAAGAATCACAATATCCAATGTCTTTCTCCTCTTTCCAACACCTACTGGTAAGGAAAAGACTTGCAGTTATTCTTAAAAATACTCTGCTACCAAAATCTAGAAATCAAATATATATGAAAGAAAGAAATAGAACTTGATCCTAATGTACAGGCAATCTTTATTTTAATAAGAAGGCTGGGAGCTGGTTAAGTGGCATAAGTACGTGCCTGACAAGTGCAAGGTCAAGGTCCTGAATTTGGTCTCCAGTTCTAGAAAAGGAAAA